GCTGGTAAGATGAAAGGCAACTCACAACAGAACAAGAACCAAGCCATGCAATTTTCATATCAACTTGTGGCACTAATTTTAGCTGGGAATCTTAGCTACGTGATTCAGAAAATTCTTTTATTTAGCACACTTGAAAGTACTAAAAATCCCTGGAATATTTTATTGGTCACTATGCAATTCAGCTCCTAGCTCGTATTTGCTGCTGCCATTAAACAGTGACCACAATAAATAATTCTACTTTTCTTAACTGGATTTTGTAGTTGCCAGCCCACATAGTACTGACAACCTACAAACTGTTCCAGGTCACTGGGAGAACCCTCAAGGATCCCCAATTCATKTAGTAAAAGCTGGTTTCCCCCTCAAAATTTACAGTGCTCAGAACAGAGGACATCTGGATCATCTTGTGCTACACAGAGCTGCCAAAAAGTCCAAGCAAGGGCCAGACAGTTCTGGGTACAAGCCAGGTCTGGTAAGTTACCCACTGGAATTTTAATATGACAATTTTCATTTAGTTGTTCGTTTCTCACCAGATAAATCAAGAAATTATTGCCTAATAATTACTTTTCAGTAGGTTTACCAGATATACCACATTTTTTTCTAATTATTCCAATAGATATTTTTCATGGGATGGCATTTGCTTGGAACAGAACTGGTGTATTTCCCAACAGCAGTGATAGGGTACATCAAATTGTATTTACAAGACTTTGCAGATTGATTCCTAAATTCTCCTCCTCTAGAATGAAATATTACTCTAAATGATGCTGCTGAAATCCTGAAAGCCAACAGTGTTCATAAAGCAGCAAATAAGATGTTAAAACTGGTAAGCACTATTTATATGAAGCAATGTAATTTTAATTATACCTGTTAGAATAGGCTTGAGAAATATCCTCCAAAAATACAAAATATTCAGTCATTTTAATRCCCAATCCATCTTTGTTGATGTTTACAGTAGCTGTAATTGCTTATATGGAAAAATAGCATTAGAAAATGATGGAATTTAAACTACTTGAAATGAGGGCAGCCAGCACAGCATGAATAGGTGAGAGCTCATGACACTATGAGCTTCTCGGTTAGGCCGTAAGTAAATTGAACATCTTGAAACAGTTCTCATCTGCAACAGAGTACAAATCTACAATCTGTTTTCACAACCTCAAGATTTATTTCCTTATTCTTACTTGCACAAGCTGCTTACTTGGGGGAGCACCTTGTTTTCACATGAACTAGAGTCTGAGAAATCACTTACACGTAGCTTCCACTCTACAGCTAATTACTTCAAACATTTCTGCATCAAGCAAAATAATTCTGATCCATTGCAGTAAAGTTTTTCTTCGCTCCTTAGACTGAAAATGATACATTGTCAAAGATTTAGTTAAGGTTGGTAAAAAATTGGTAATTCTTCATTGTATTTTAAAGACTAATTCTAGCTAAATCTAATTAGGAAAWCCTTTAAAGTGGATCCTAAATAAACCATCCTAAAATAAAATCCTTTAAACACGCCTCACTTCACTGAACTAATGGAAATTTACACATAAACAAGACATCAGCAACGTGAAAACACTTTGAAATTAGTTTGGCTAATCAAAATTAAGACACTGKCTTGCTACAAACACCTCAGAAAATACAGCTGGCTAGAAACAACCTGGAGCAACCAGGATAGAGGGGTGTCCTGGGAACTGGAGGGTATAAATAAAGACAGAAACGGGAAGTTAACCAGAGAGATTTGGGGTTGTTAAAAGGACTCAGCATTGAAAACGGATGGCAATTTGTACAGATCAAAAAACAATAGGGCAATTTATAGTGTAATCTGCACCGTTGTGTCCATTCCTACACAAATAGGTGCAATTAAGTATCAATAAGGTGCCAAGCTGAGTTTTCTGGACTCTGATTCACAGTCTTTTCTTTAGAGTAAGGTTTCTAGTAACATTAAAGGGTTTCTCTGGATGTGAAGGAATACACTGAGATGGAGCAGCACTGCTGAGGCATGTCAGAGTTCAGCATAAGTCATCATGAGCCACAAACAGCATCCACAGGACAACACTCAAACTGCTAACAGCACTTAGCAGCAAAATCCAAAGAACTACTCCGACTTGTATTGTTTCCCTTTACATACAGGTATTCCTTGAGCATGTTGCATCAAGAATGAAGATATACAACATTCTCATATCTGCATACTGTTGAGAAGAATTTTAATTTTCTGAGTTTTTGGTATCACCAAGAACTTGTTTTTCATATGAGCTATCTTATCGCACAGGAATAAGAAAAACTGTCATTTACAGTATTAAAGCACAAAAAATTGGGGTGTTTACAACTTGTGAATGAGACATTTAGTATCACTAATAGAACTTGTTCCTGGAGAAAAAAAACCCCAACACATTAGCGTATTYTTCAAAAGAGTTAACGTGGGATTTAGAGAGAACTATTTTAAATTAATTTCTGTAGTAAGTAGACTTTAAGACCTGAACTACTTGTTCAGATAAATTTTGACAAGTATCAAAATAGCAACAATTTCTAAGTTGAATTCATTACTCAGTTCTCAGACACTCATCCATCCAGCATATACACACAAAATCTTTAGTACCACCAAAGGCTGGGTCRCTAAGCCTGGCTATTGAGCATATTTCTAAACCTGAAGCAAGCAAAAAATTTGTACAAATTGCAGATTTTTGGACCTGACACCTTTACTAATCGTGTTCTATTTGTCTTATCAAAAATGGATTAGTTTTTAAAAAAATCTTCATATGGCAGTCTACTTTATCTATAGGGAAGTTTCATTGTTGGAACGACTTGCACAAAAAAAAAATCTTATTTCACTGAGATTATTTTAAAAATACTTACTGCTTTTTAATATGTAGAACAGCACACCTATGGCTTCTAAAGKGACCAGAACATTGACTGACCATCCTTTAGTTTAGGACTAAAACATTCTTCAGCCAAATGCTACCCAGAGAAATTATTTTACTGAGTGGTCTCTCCTAACTTTGCTCTTTAAGACTGCAGACTTGCAAGGATGGTTGGAATCAATCAACTGTAAACACAAATCAGTTAACCTAAAAAGGAATGGAAATGTCTTGCTGAAGTAAGAGGGGAAGARGAGATRGTAATAACATTAAGCTGCAGTCATCAAAAACTARTATTAAGACAATTAAGTCATTCAGGTGCTGCCCCCCATCTTCTGTACAATATTTGACAGTGAAATGCAACTCACCCATTTTGCTGCTTCATCACTTTGCCCCTGCAGACTAAAAATGMATTGTCAGTAAGAGTTCTCAAAATAAAAAGCAAATCCTTTAAATGAAAATTTAAGTTTATTTGGAAACTTTAAAATGTCATTTCTATCAATTTAGACACAGTTTGACATTATCAGGTCATTTACAGTGATTCATGGATAAAGATTTGGCTTTTACATTCAAATGTTAAATACTTCAGAATAGCTTTCTCTTGTTATTTCCAAACCAGAAACACTAAAAAGCATTTTATTTTGCCTTTCAACCATCTTTGTTAATTAACAGACTTTTGATATCTGCTGTAGTTGAAGGGGAACGTGCAAAACACCAAAGGAATTACTTTGTTTGAAGGAAGCGAGTACCTTAATTACAGATCCAGATTTAAGATTCGTTCACTGTAGCATCAAAAGGCCGTGCTAAGACTTTTTTTTAAATCTATTTTCCTCAGGTAGACTGCAAAACCTGAGTTAAAAGCCTCTTTATGAAGATAAAAAGGTCTTGCTATTCAGTGTTAACATCATTCAGTCTTACATTTTTGCAAGTTTTGTCCAGTTTTCATAATTATTTTGGAAACTATTRTAAAATTTCATCTCTATCCTAGCACAATCTTTGTATTAGTGTTTAACAAAATTCAATGTATCTACCAGACTTAATTGTGTTCATTTTTATTGCTTACTATAGTTTATTTTCTTACTCTCTAGCACTAATTTGAAATTGGATAAACAAAAAACATTTGCAGGGAAAAAAACTGACCAATTTGCCCATTCTGGCAAGGACAGTGTCCCTCAAGCATGTACAACATGATTAACTGTTACAACGTGAATTCCAGACTGCTGCTCTCCAAGAGGGACAGCCACCCTACCAAGCATCTGAGAAGTTCAAAACTCCTCCAGTTTTTAAAAACATGAGCTTCAAAACCCTGGGAAAAAACTTATACATTTTAGATCTATATGTTCTTGACTCTACAACAATATGCTGCAAGGGGAATCTCGCAGGAAGGTACTCAGATTCCTTTGCATACACCTCAGCGTAACAGGGTGCTGCTGCTGCTTCAGTCAGCAAGCAGCACACCATGGAAGATCTGGGACAACAGCAGGAACCTTCTGCTTGAATCAAGCCTTTGCACTATCAACAAATTAGGGAAAGGGGGGGAAGCACAGATTTTGAAATGCTTCTCAAATCTGACATAATACATTTTGTCCCCCACCTTTYTTTCCACTGTCTGATGGATCATCAGCAGCAGTGTGCCAGGAATGCTCTTATTGCCTGATTCCAGAAGTCTGCTGCGTTTCAAGAAGCACAGGCACATTCCCTGCTCAGGTACACACAGCAGCAGGTGTTAAAGGTCTGTTATATTACAGTTTAGTAACCATGTAAGAAACAYAAATGCAATCCTTATCTTCCTCGCTGGTAAAGTCTGTTAACCTACTTAATCCACAGGAATGATGATATGTAGCTCAATTAAACAAGTGTATTCATAAGCCTTTACAGAAAACTCAGTTCTGTCCCCTGATGCTGTTTTCAAGTCTGTTTTATTCACTCTTTTGGATGACTATAAATAAGTGTTTCCACTATGGAAAAGAAAGTTAGCACAGTACATTTTCATGACTGGGGAGTGGATTTTTCTGAAGACACCTTCCAAAGGGCAAAAGCTTAGAAAAAACAACGTGAATGTTGAATTCAGTTCCATATAAAGTCCCTTGTAAAAATGAAAAAAAAATATAACCAACCAAAAAAAAAACCCCAAAAAAAGGAAAAGAAAAAAAGAAAAAAAAGTAAAGGAAAAACTGCAAGGCCCAGGATGATTTTATTGCTTTTCTTCAGTTTTTTCCTTGGTCTCTTTCTTCTCAGATTCTCTGCTCTCTTCCTTTACAGAAAGCTCTTCTAGTTTCTCAGCAACTTTATCAGCACTATCATTTTTGTCTGTGCCTGCTAAAAGATTGATTAGGAAAAGTGTTACATACAGGCAGTAATGGATTTTCCTGTTAGAAAGAGTAAAGAAGTAGAGRGTAAGGGGAATGAGGAGAGACAGCTGGTGTTGGACAAAAATAAAGACATTCTTCACTGACCACTGGAGTGACTCATTTCATTTCTCTTCCTCTGGTAACTACTTCAGATGTCAGAATTCAAGAAATACCACTCGTATGTTAATCACAACATGAGGGCTTAATCACAGGGACTGAGGAATGTGTAGTATCTGGCCAGCTGTGCTGCTACCAATAAAGCATCCACACACGTCCTTAGCTCCTTGTCATCGTAACCAAAAAGGCCAAGTCAAATTTCCCAGTTTGAAATGGAGGGATAGGAATTCTTAAAACTGGAAAATTCCAATCTAGGTATCTTGAAGAACACTGCAGACCACTGGCAGTCTGTACTTAAGCAAGAYAGAAGTGTTTATTTAATCTGGTGAGATACCTTGGCACACAGGAAATTCTACAAGGTGATGCAATAATCTATTAAATAGAGACTTGTGAACAACTTCATACAGATTAACAACTATAGAAAACATTAAATATTATACTTGCATATAATTTGTGGAATTTGTGAAAGAGACCTGGAAGGAAGAAGGAACAAAGAGCACTGTGACTGCAGAGTCTACAGTTCATCTGTGCACTATATGCCATAAATAMTTCCCTGGTAGCCTTTCCAAAGCAGGGATGTCCCAACAGCAACTGTAACAGCCCTCTATKGGAAAGAAGGCCATCGTCGCTCCTGTGAGCTCTTACTCTTGCAGACAGAAAAGCACCTGAACTGAAGGCAGCAGTTCAGCACAGAGTGAGTCTGCTGGAACACAGCACTCCAGAGTGCTGTAACCACTCATACAGGAAATGTGGTACCGAGTTACACCAAGACTACCTTACCTTTCTTTACTGTCTTGCCTACTTCATTCCTGCATTCTTCAAATTTTGCCTTGAATTTCTGTGCATCTGTTTCAGTGAAGATAAAAAATATTTTCATTACTTTTACCACCTCACAACATTGAATACTTCTAATCTTGACTAAAGATACTCGAGGAGAAGCTTTGTGTAAACAAAATTGGGAGGGACTTATGAAGTAATCTAGTAAATCACACAAGATGCAAAATTTTTCAATCACATGTCTGTGCAAAAGCAATTTATCTTCTTCAGCAAGTTTACAAAAGCAGCTTATTTTGCAAAATATTCAACTGTAATGCCAGCAGGAGGTGTTTTGTAGTGTTATTGCAACTCCCAGCTGTCTGTAGCCTAAAGGAATAGGAATATGATGTCAGAGACTGCTAATACAACTATCWGTATGCAAAAGACAGAAGATTAGCTTTGAACTACCATCCTTTCCAGTTATGTTATACCCTAAGAGTCTTCTACAGCCTGACCATAACTGGGGTTCTTGGCAGCAGCAAAGGAAGATAATGCCTGTTTCACCAGTACAACATTCAGATTYRATAATGCCTGTTTCACCAGTACAGCACTCAGATTCTCTACCCAAGGGCTATTCTTCACTACAAGAGCCAACAATGCATAATCTTCATTATGTTTTGGTCTAAGCCACCACTTGGTTCAATAACCATTCCAAGTGCTGACTGAATTCCAATAMTGCTCTACATAAGTAATACAAGTAACAAGAGATTAGGCAAGGACACCAGAACGACCAAGGAGCTACTAGCCTGGTATCCCAGTCTGGTCTGGCTGACCACTGGAGGTCACTGTTGCCCCACAGGAATTCTGAAGGCATTTGCAGCTAGAGGGAAGCCTGTGTATTGATTCTTTTTCAAGCATCTCAAACAGGAGAGACACCTGAAGGACAAACTGATGTCTGTTCACCTGTCATCTGCTTAGTCAGTACTGCAAAGGGCAAACAGGAAGAAAGGACTACTCCCTCAAGACAGAACATTCAATAAGCTGAACAGCCTCTACCAGAAAGGGGGAAAAGACTTTTCAGAAATGAGCAAATAATTACCCTTTAATTTCCTATTTGATTATGAAACAAGCACTAAGCAGATGGACCAGAAAGGTTTGTCTGGCTAAATAACATGACATTGGAGACCTAAGGCAAAGGAAAATTGCAAGATACACTAAGTTCRTCCAAATGTAGTCAAATCCATTAAATTTTAACATACACCACTACTTTATGATCCTCCTAGCATGTAGAGAGAAAAGGAGGCCAACACACAAAACTTGTGGGGCAAATGGTAAAGCAAGAAATGCAACACTTTTCATTTTGCTTCTTTAAAAAAAAATCCCCAGACCAACAACAAAACAGAACAACATAAACCCCCTCTGCCCCCAAACACTTTTTTGATTTAATCCTAGCTGATCCCTAACTAGAGTTACTGGTCTGGTACTAAATGGTATTCCAGAAAAACCCMCCAACTAGTTTGATGGGTCTGACTAGCACTTTTCACTGAGAGTTCCATTTAATCAAAACAAAAGATACTACATACTTCATTAAAAAAAAAACCAACTCAGATGTTCTGCTAATGCAGATGGATCAGAAATATCAGGTCAGGATGTACTTGTTTCTAGTGCAAAAATCTAATCTTAACTACAATTAAGCATCTGAATTAAATGAAAGTAAGCTGCAGGTGAGTCTCTTAACTGCCTTTAGTTTTATTCTAATTGGCATTGCACTTAGATGAAATGGCTTAGGTTAGAATAAGTGCCYAGGGCAGAAACCAAACAAATATTACTGCAGACCTAATTACTACAGAGTKTGTCAACAGATACAGTTAAGTGATTACCAGACTTTTCTCAGATAAAGAATTMATTAGCTAGCACTACCATGCAGGGATGAGATACAGCATGTGCTCAATAATGGYTGAGAGCAGTGTTGAGACAAGCAGGATAACAACAGTTTACAATCAGTGTAAGTACAATGCCAGTCCACTCACTCTCTGCATTTAGAAATCGGATTGCCAGAAGTTCGGGCTTGGGGCATTCATCTGCAAAGTCAGCGTGTGTGTTCCAGACCCATGCCCTGTCACTCCCAGCATTAGGCTTCAGCTCCATCAACGGTGTGACTGAAAGGAAAGCAATAAAAGATGTACAGACCACAACAGTATTTGTTTTCTACACCAGCCTCCATAAATCTCAGTGACAATGAGCTGTGATGGTTACATAAAGGACAGAAGTAACAGAATTATTCTGGGATAAATACAAGACAAAGGTGCCCATATATATTTTTCCTTACATTGTCAAATAAAATGATGCAAGACCATTACTGAGTGAGAGGATACTGGATTCACTACTGTTAGGAGAGAGATTTGCATTCAATTTTTGTTTAAAACTGTGATACTAAGAGATGCAGTTGTTGGCAGAATGTCACTGAGCACAGGCAAATGATTAAGGAGAAAAAGGCATCCAGACAGACAGACAACATTCATTTTGCTTTTGCATACCGAAACGACTACCAAAAATTAATCTTAAAAAGAACTATAACTCGATGACTAATTGAAGGTATCTCTCCCATCAGTTTAAAACTCTACAAGATATTACAGAATAATGCAGTGCTTCCAAGTGTACAMAGTATGTTCTCAATCTGCATGTTCCCCCCAGTAAAGGGGGCCCTTTCCCTCTAAGACACTGCAATTATTTCACCTGACTAACTGGAGAAGTTGAAATGTTACTTCCCACAGTACCTTACAACTTGGTACATTACAGACATGCAAAGTGTAAGCAGGGCCTTTTTTCTCCTTGGGTCCTGTTTAGTTCAGGAGAAATCTGAAGAGTTGACTCTGTTCCTTGCATTTTAAAACCAAGGGATCAAAATACATTTTGCTCCATTTAATGCTTTGCAAAAATAAGGAGTCCTTTTGTCTGAGTGTGAGTCAGCATAAATTCAATAAACAAATCTGTATCAAGAGCAGCTTTCCCAGGAAAAGAAACGAAACAACTTTTGACATGAATACTATAAATTCATCAATTCTGTCTTGCATTTGTGCAATATTTATTTCCCTAAACAAAAGATTTATTCCTGCTGGCTGGTGACTACACTGCTTTCATGTTTGCCATTCCATTTACTAAACATTTGTGTCCTCTGAACAGTCTGATTTTTGGTAGGATCTATCTGCCCAAGGAAACAAGCATTACTGAGGCTTCCATTAAGCTACTTCTTATTTAAAGTTACCTAAATGTAGTTTAACTCCACAGAGCACTATATACTCTTCATATAGAAATCTGAGTATCACCAAAGCAAGCAAAGCATCACCAAATTAGCCTACTTGTTCCAAGTYGTGCTGACTTTCAAGTCTGCCTTGCTCTTTAATGCTTTTTTAATTCAAAGAGGATTCTTTTTTGAATGAGTCAGCCCAATATAACACATTCATTTCAGTTTATTTCACAAGCAGAGAAAGGCAGACATAGATTAGCTCAGCACCCAGTTTCTGTTTTCTAATGGTTAAGGGATTGGTCCTAGCAACTCAAACATTTAGCTCAAAGTAGTACATTTTATTACATCATGTTTTTTTTCACTCTTTTACAAAAGCAAGCCAGCATACGTTAAATTCTTATCCCAACAGTATTAAATCCCACGTTTTCTACACTCCATTCATCATTAAAACACACACACACACACACACACACACACACACACACACAGAGGAAGCAATCACATAAATACCTGTCTATCACAGCTAAATTTTAAAGTGACTTTCGTCTATCAGACTCTGCAGGAAAAAGTCTCCAGCTTCCTTCCATTAATAAAAAATAACCCCTCATAGTTTTTGATGCCTGAAGCCTTGTAGGATGAGCAAAAGACAACCATACTTAAATTCTACATGCTTATTTTTTTCAAACAAGAATAAGTATAACGATGTATAACATACTGTAATGGTTTGCACAGATTTTTAGGGTTTTATCCCTTCGCATAAGGAGGCGAATTGTTCCCTTCTCCTTGTGTTTCAGGAGTTTCACATCACCAGTTCCTCGTTCTTTCCATTCTGGAAGGTCATTCTCAGATGCAAACCTGAAGAGCTTTGCTCGCCTTAGAGAACAGAAAATTTCATTAGCCTGCATGTCAAAATATTTATTAAAACACCCCACCTGACTGAACAGCACAGTTATTTTTAAAAGCCATACACAAGAACTATTCCTTTTATAAGATTCCTTGTTCTACTTCAACATACGCATTTAGAAACCGGTATGATAAATTAGAATCAAGTAATTAAATATTAGGAATTATGTAATTTCAACAAGTTCTGGACACTCTTAGGGGATGATAAACTTATTTGGCATAGGCAACCTTTTAAATTCAGGAAGTTAATTAAGAGCTTTTGCTTYAGCCAGAGCTCATCAYGCTACCYRTCAAAAACTGACCATCACTTCAGTTATTACCAGAATCTGTATAAGCAGAACTCAAATCTCTCTTCCAGATGAGCAATAACAYTCTGTGATTAAGTAAAAGCAGATTTTTTTAAACCTGTTTAAAGCAAGCACACCAGGTATCAAATTCAAARTACTTCTTAACCCTTTACACTACATTTTTCTTAGGCAGATCCAGCTATCCTGATCTGACAACCTAAGGATATAATTCTGTTGAAGACAACAGACAAGAACTGCCACTAATGCTCCAATATTATTTCAGTATCTGGTACATCACCCTTTATCCAGGAATGCATGGCAGCCACACCATATACATCTCATTTCTTTCTTCCCAAGACAATTGTTTTACATTCTGTGGTCACAATTTCAATAATTATTACCTAAGTTGCTATTTTCTTTTATGCTAAACAGTGCTAAAGTCAGATTTGTACTATCAATTCCCTTCTGTGGTTCAAGACTTCATTTTCCTGGGGCATTATCAATCACCTCCCACTCTGACATCAGAGTCAAGACCAACCAAGTTGGATTGCTAACAAGTTACTCAGCTTTTTATAAACACTGTCAAGTTTAAGCCTAATGAGCATTCAGATAATAAAGAGAAATATTCTACTTACATCTTAAAAAGCTCTTCCTCATCCTCTTCCAGAGTTTTAATTTCTTGCTCTGGAAGGGAAACTATGGGCTCAAACTGAGGGTCGTGGTTAGAATCATCTGCATTTTCAGTAGAATTATCATGCTCCTCATGAGCTTCCTGAAAAGAGAAAATACAAACTTGCTATGTACCCAAACAGTGAAGAACTCTTAYCTGTGTTTAAAATTAAAACATTTATGACTTTTCAGTAACTAGATCTTAGTAACCCTGTAACAGTAACAAATAATTATCATAGCTGAAAACAAGTGACTTGCACATCAACATACAGTTACACTAAGAAACAAAAAGGTGCTCATGAACTATTAAATATTTTAATCCTACCATTCATGAATTGTGCAGAGGCTTGGCCTTGGGGCAATAGCTCCTGGTTATGGAAAAATAATTTCTTCAACAATTTTTCAAACATGATGTGTTTTATGCTACTAAAGCCCTACTGTTTCTTAGTGCCTAATGACCCATTGTTAATGGGAAAAACAGAAAACCCACACAACATCAAAGCMACCGCCTAACCCAGCTTAAGGGACACATTACATCCCAAGCTCATCATTCTGTCTTAYAGATTAGAATCACCCACAGTCAGCACAGTCAAARRTATTTTGAGGCACAGCTGTAACACCAATGAAATAATTCAGGTTTCTTGCTTTAAGATTCCTCAAGRAACTCTAGGTCACAGGTAAATGCACAAAACAACACTTCTTATTTAAGTTCTTTAGGAACCTGTCAGAGCATTTGTTAAGCTTAAGAATGTTTTTTTACGAGGTGACTAGTAGGTAAATGATAAACATCTCTAGTACTTTATACATATGGACTGCTAAGAAGCACTAAGCATACAAGCCTAGGAGGGAGATTCATATGCAAGTTTAACAAAGCCACAAAACTGCTATCTCAGGTCAAAGGAATTGAGTCGGGTTTGGGATTTTTGTTGCTACTTGAGTAATAGAAAGGAAAAACCGTCTATACATGGAAGTTCTTTAAATAATATTTTTACTTTACAAATGGAAGAGCTCACTCTTACAGGTTCTATTCACAATGTCCTTTACGGAGCAGGTATACACCATGTGTGCATAAAGCAACTGGAATAAAGCAGTCTATTTTTACTAAATAGTAAACAAGAGAAAAAAAAGGAAGCAAGGGAAGATTAGGTTTAAAATGTTGCAAAAAAAAAAAAAATCCAATTGTATCAAAACGCAAGCTATCCCTAGTTTTATGTCCACGGTGTTCCAGCATGGAAAAAAAAAAGCAAGAAAGGTGTTACGTCACATCTGTTTCCAAAAAAAAATAGGAAAAGAAATGTTAGCCAAACTTTTATACATTGTCTCCTCCTGTGTAAGTAGCACATCCCGCCTGGTAACTCATCATGCGTTCTGCGCCTGAGCAATTAATTACAGAGACCTTGAGAAATGCACGATTCACAGCAGCCACATGCGAGAACGTGGATCCCGTTATCACGATACGATCCCGCCCAGCCGCGATACAAAGCACGTGGGGAACTGCCGGGGCAGGAGGGATCCGGCCACCAGGGCCGGGGGAGGGGCGGAAAGAGGGAGCACAAGAAGAAAGGAGGCAAAGGGGGAAAAGGACCACCCGAAAGAGTCCGGGTCGCTCGGGCTCCCTCAYACAGGGGAACTGCCGAGGCGGGCGGAGGGGCCGGCCCGAGCGGCCACACGTGCCGGGAGCGGCCGCAAACCCCCGGCCCCGCGGAGGCGGCCGCTCCAGCCCCCAGTGAGGCCCAGCGTCCATCCCCACTGGGCCCTGCCCGACCTCGGCTCCCCCCGCCCGCCTCAGCCCCCCCGCCCGGGCCCCACCTGTTTCCGTTACTCTCCCGCCCCGGTCCCCGCTGCCGCCCGCTCCCCCGCGCCGTTCCCAGCCCGGCCGTGGGCCCGCGGCCGCCCCTCACCACGGTGTCCGCCATGGGCCCGGTCGCCGCGCTCCGCTCGCCGCTTCCTGCCGCGCGCCCCGCCCGCCTTTACCTCATTCCCGCAGCCCGCGCCGCGCCGCCGCAAGGCACGATGGGAAACGCCCGCTCYCCCTCAGCCCCGCGCTCGCGCCCCGCCCCCGGCACCGGCAGAGAGCCGCCCGCCCCGGCCCCGTCACACCGATCCCGCACAGGCCTTCGGAACCGGCCCCGGGACCGGCCCTGTCACCGACCCCCGGGACCGATCGCCAGCACAGCCCCTCCCGCCCCCTCAGAAACGTTTTTGTTGTCCTGTTTCCCAGACGCTTTTCCCATCAGCCCCCGCGCCATGGCGGCGAGCGCGCGCTTCTCGGCCCAAGATGGCGACTGCGTGCGGGAAGGGGCGATGTGTGAGCTGCTGTTTTTATTATACTTAAGGGCCGCAGGTGTCCCCGGGCTCGCGGAGCGGCAGCGCTGAGGAACAGTGCTTAAATAACAACCAGATCGTTCCTGTGCCGTGGTTCTCGTCGCAGCGGTACGTCCGTGACGCCACGGCCCCGCCCCGGGAGGTGCGCGGGGTGGCTGAGGGCTGGCGGGACCATGGCGGAGGGACGCGAGTGCTGCGAGCCCGACTGTGACTCGGCTCCTGYGCCGGAGGCTGGAGATGGGGCTGAGCCGGACAGCCAGGCCGGGGAAGATTCCGCGGAGAGCCCCGACGTGTACAGATACATYAAAGGAGACCTGTTCACCTCCGAGATCTATAAAGTAGAGATACAGAACCTGCCCAAATACATCGGGTTTAATGACGTGAAAAAGTTCCTTGCCAAGTACGGGCTCAATCCTCACAAGATAAAACTCTTCGGGAAGCAGACGTTCGCCTTCGTAACGTTCAAGAGCGAGGAGGAGCGGGACAAGGCCATGCGGGTGCTGCACGGCGCGCTCTGGAAGAGCCGCCACCTCAGCGTGCGCCTGGCCAAGCCCAAAGCCGACCCCATCGCCAAGAAAAGGAAGCAAGGAGAGGATTCGGAGCAGGGAGAGGCGAAGCGGCCGGCTCCCTCCGAAGAGGAACCTCTGAGCAAGCGGATCGCGGATGTGGTGACCCCGCTGTGGAAYGTGCCCTACGAGGAGCAGCTGGCCCAAAAGAAGCAGGAGTGCGAGCAAGTGCTGCAGAAGCTGACAAAGTAATTCCTGTTTGTAACGTAATGTGTGCAAGACTTGGCCTTATGATGGGATGTAGCTAAATTCACAACAATTGATACCTCTAAACTGAAGTGAGTTAGAGGTAGGTGAAAACTCAGATCCCCTGTCAAAGTAATTACAAGATAATCCCGCRATGCTACAGCCTAAAAGCTGTTCCTTCTGACAAAACGTGCTTCTGATGTTCTTGGTCACGTTCAAAAGATTGCTGAATTAAGGGGAATTGGTTTTCAAATTTGTTGTTCCATAAGCAGAAGGATGTTTGTGYCCTTAAAAAAAAGGGCATTGTCAAATGGTGTAAGAGAGAATCAATCTGTAGAGATGACAAATTACTCCAAGGAGTTTCTCTTTTAAAATCCCCTCAAAATTTTATGCCTGGTCTTTGTAGATCAAAGTATCACTTCTGTCTCTAGCCTTGGATAAAACTGTTATTCTTTAACATGCATGGGTACATGGATAAATCCAGTGCATAACCATTATAACTACCTTTAACCTTWATTTTTTCAGGTTACAGCTCTTACATAAGGGGAGAGGGATTGCCTGTTAAAAAGTTCTGGAAGAAACACTCTTCCATGTGATAATCTGATGCTTTTTGGTGCCCTATACAAAAAAGAGCAAGACAAAAAAGAAGTCTTGTGCACCTCTTGACCTCAATTTTTCTAAATGTGTGCTTTACATTTTTTGTTTCTGATTTTGGCAGGGAAATAGGAAATAACAACAGAGCTTTATTACCCTGGTTGTTCCTGCAGAAGCAGAAGTTTAATAAATTATGTTGCCCAGTGGAGGGAGTGAAAGCATCGCCCTTACAGGTAACGTAATCTCAGGTAAAGTGTGGAACAGAGTTAATGAGCTGAGGGTTATGTTTATTATTTGGTCTTGGGAGAGAGTGGATAAACTGAGTATTCATCTTGTAATAAATGATGAATTTTAGATGCTGTTGCGTTTCATGTAAATGCTGTATGGAAATATTTACAGGAAACAGATAAATTGATAACTGGATTTTCTTTAGAATATGCTGTCCCTGCAAGCTTGTCTTGTAAATTAATACATTCCTTAACAGAGGCACTATTTTTCTTTTTAAATAAGGTTTACTAATACTTGATTTCATTGTTACTGTTAGTTCACACACATCAGAATCCATGAATATCTTCCATATGAGCTAAATATTCTGTTTCCATTTTCAAWTGCACTTAACCACATGAGATTTTGTTTCAGGAGAAACTTGGCATGTACAAATAAATGCTGTGTAAATATCTTACATAACTTTATTTTAAATCTAGACTGAATATCGCAACAAATGTGAGTTCTTGATTGGGATTGGTGTAAATCAAGAAGACAAAACTGTGGGTTGTCGTCTTGGCAAATATAAGGGTGGTACATGTGCTGTAGTGGAGCCATTTGATACTATTCACATTCCTGCTATTGCCAAAAAAGTAGTAAAAGCTTTCCAAGACTACATAAGGTGAGCATAAGTAAAGTGAGTTATCATAAAGGTTTTGATATCTTAATCAAAAATATTTATAGTGTTTGTTCTGAGCTTTAAGACCTAAGATATACCGGTCTCAAATTTTAGTGATTCTTTGTTTCCACCTTGTGCCTGGATCATGGGGTGTTTTTCCCTTGCTCCTGCTCAGCTGCTCAGAGATGGGGGGACAGGTACCAGCTGAACACAACTTTATTGCAAGCAGTGGGATGTGTAGGTCTGCAGTGAAAAGGTGTGTGTTACTCAGGWGCTTCTTCCACTAGTTGTAGAGAAATACTCAGAAATAACACTTGAAGAATTGAATAACCAAGGTCCATTGCTTCCTTGGATGAGGAGAACAATCATCCTACAGCAAGGAATAAACCAAAAGTTGTACATTTAAGGAAGAGTATTTTTTTAGAAAAAGGGATGATTTCTTTAATAAGTAGTTAAATCGTCAGAAATGGAAACCTCAGAAGAATCATGAAGATGGAAGGTCTGAACTTGGTATGAAGCAGAGAAGCTAATTCAAGCATTATGGAAAGTTATGTCATTCTCTCAGTGCAGTGTGAGGCTGCCTCTTGCCTCTCTGTGATTTTGCATGGGTTAAAATGGGAAAGAGGGCAGATTTTGCTTTGGGAGATACTACCCATTAGGCTTTCTTAGTTGAGATGTGGAARTCATTCTTTTCTTGACAAATCACTGTAGTCTCTGTACTTAACATTTTTCCCCATCACTTTGCACAGTGATCTTTTATTTCAATAAACTGTTTAATGTTATGCAAAAAAATAATGTCCTGTATAAGTAACTGAGCTTCTGCACATTGCAGGTCAACTCCTTACTCSGTGTACAGCCCCGAAACCTATGAAGGTCACTGGAAACAGCTCACGGTCCGGACCAGCCGCAGCGGCCACATCATGGCAATTGCTTATTTCAATCCTCAGGTATTTCACTTGATACGTAAAGTGCAGCCCAGACTTACAGCTTTAGAATGACTTAAAGTTGATTTTATGAATTGTGCATGCAAAAGAGAAATAGAAGAATTCCTTGGTGCAGTTTACCTTGSATCACTAATTCTATTTAGACTAATACGATACATGGAAATGAACAAGGAATTCACTAAATCGTATCTTGAAGTTACTAAAATAATTATTCTCTTTTCTTTCAAATGAAACCTTTAGAAACTGAGTAAAGAAGAGCTAGCCAACCTGAAAATCTCTCTGGCAAAATAYTTCACAGAAGGGATGGGAAAGAGCAGTGGTGTTACTTCTCTGTACTTTGTGGAGGAAGGACAGAGGTGAGKGCYTTAACTTTTCTTTGGGGGATTTTGRTGGTGGCWGGATTTTTGGTGTTTGCAAAAATGCAGTTAGCACTTTCACAGCATTGTTTTATCCATTTCATAGAAGCAGCAGCAGTTGCTACTAATTTGTTGAAGTTATTTACCTTTTCCACAAGAGAGTCCTGAAATTTCCCATTCTCTGGATAAAAGGCAGGTAGCATTTTAGTGGTTAGTCACTGCTGGCTGTCAAGCTGTGGAAGTGTTTGCTGCAGTAGATGAGTATTTACTATTAGCCAGTAACTTCTGCTTTCTTTCTTCCCTAAGTATGCGAATTTTTAATCTCTCTATCCTTCATAGAGCACAAGGCTCATACCATCCTCATCCAGAGCCAGTGTAGGTCGTACTGCGGACATGAGTGGAGTATTTGCAGACTGTGAGATATAAATGGCCAAGAAGAGTCTATAAGAGCAGATGATAAATGTTATTGCTTAGAATATAGCACTRCAATTTTTAGGATGACTAGCTTTGGTARATGTTGTAACAAACATGTTTGTTGTCTCCCCATTCCTYCTGTACCCCTAGGAAATCTCCCAATTTGGAAGACTTGCCTTTGGAGCATGTGGCTGGTGATAAGTACATATAYGAAGAACTCCTTGGCCTAAAATTTAGAATTTCTCCTCATGCATTTTTCCAAGTAAGTAAGGATGACACGAAACTGCTTATTTAACCCTTGAGCTTGACTAATGCTGTGGAACAAGATATTTGATACCTAGCCTTTTATATATTAGGTGTGATTAAAAACCAGTGAGTATTATGTTCGGCTGTAAAAGCAGTGAATAACTGTAAATTTGATGGGGGCACATGGAAGACAACCCTTTCTATTTAGAAGTTCATTATTCTTTTCCTCCTGTTTCATGGCAGCCTTTTTGTGACACTGAACATGCAACAGTATAGTTCAGGGGTTGTGTAGCACTGATTGTTTGCTTTTCCAAAACTTATTTCTGCCCTTCCAACACTTTAAATATGTTTGTAACTTACAATGATTTGATTTTTTGAAACAGGAAAACTGGCTTTACTAAGACTCATTAAAACATGTTTACTGTTTATGAAGAAGTAGATCTATTGGAAACTTAATTTCCCAGGTGAACACACAAGCTGCAGAAGTTTTGTACACTGCCATCGGGGAATGGGCACAACTGAGCCAAGAGAGCACTGTGCTGGACATCTGTTGTGGGACAGGAACCATTGGGATTTCTTTGGCAAAGGTCAGCAATTTCTCTTCTGGATAGAAGCCACTTTATACCTATTTTTAGTTGTGGGTACAGGGAAGGAAAATATCTGATGTATGTGAAATGCAACAGATTATATCGTAATTTTTTTAATTAATTTCTAATTGAACCACCTGCAGCTACTTTACCACATCATTATGAAAGCTCATCCTTGTGTTCAGCAGCCTAGGTACCAGTCAAAGTCCCCGTTATGCTATGAATGATGGTTAAATTCACACATACATACCACAGAGGGATCTTTTTCCTTTGATTCTACAGAAAGTGAAGAAGGTAATTGGAATTGAGCTCTGCCAAGAAGCTGTGCAGGATGCCAAGGCAAATGCCCAGATAAATGGTGAGTTAAGCTGAAATGCTAAGGCCTTTGTTAAGGAGTAGTTGTASAGCCAGTTGTTCTTTACCTTATCTAAGCAGCCTGGAATTACATGTTGTTGATAGTGATCTTGTCCGGTTTAAACACTTAATCGCTCTTGAAAACAAATACCTCTGTAGCCTACCAGATCAATTTTCCAGTTGAACAGCTTTTTTTTCTTGAAAAGTAAAACATTTATTTCAGTGTAAAATTGAGATGMAACTGCAGTTAACTCTTCTAAAGAAAATATTAACATAGTCAGTTTTTGTGGGATTTTTGCTTTAGTCCAGTTAATAGAAGATGCTCAAAGTACTGTTGTTTAAGTGAAGTTAACAGTGATTGTTTAAATTACACAGATTTCGGGGTAGACTAAATAATTTGTAKTTTCTGAGGTGTTAGAACTTAATATCTAAGGTGAAGAACTTAAAGATGTTTTGACTAAACAGGTATTCTCATATTTTCTTTTTACTTACAGAACTGAGTAATATTGAATTTTATTGTGGGAAGGCAGAAGATATTGTTCCTTCCCTAATGAACAGTTTAGCTCCTCAGAACCTGATCACGATTGTAGATCCACCGCGAGCAGGGCTGCGTAAGTTCACCAATTAAGGTTTAAGTCTGTTCTCTTAATGGGTGTTGGGTGGGAAACMTAAGAAAACACCATTGTGATAAATTATGTGGATGCTTCAGGTGTAGCGTGAAGCAACTGCACWTTGCAGCAGTCTTGTTCATGCTGGAGTATAACCTGGCATTTTTCTGTGAGGCTCTTGCTGCACACAGAACCAGTGAACAGCTGTCTTGTTTTTGATCACCCAGACTCTAAGGTAATTCTTGCCCTTAGAAGAGCTGAACATYTGAAGAAGCTCATCTATGTCTCCTGTAATCCCAGAGCAGCAATGAATAACTTTGTGGAGTAAGTGTTTCTTGAATTAAGTTGACTGAGTAGACGTGGTAAGAAGAAAAATATTTATTTTTTGAARAGGGGGGACCATTGCTGGATTTTTATTTGTAAGCCATGTTCCTTGAGGCTTACCTTTCACCAGAAACAGCTGGGAGCTGCTGCAGCTGGTTTGGAATGGTAYTGCCAAATACACAAGTCATAATGGATATTCTGGGGGTAGTGAATAACCCTATGAAGGAATTAAGGCTTGGGGAAGGAAAACCTCGCTGAGTAGCAGTGATGATGAGTGTACTAAAATACTAATACATTTCTTCATCCCCTTCTTTCCCTTTCGTGTCAAGCCTGTGCCGGGCCCCTTCCAACAGGGTGAAAGGAGCCTCTTTCCGCCCCGTTAGAGCCATGGCTGTGGATCTGTTCCCTCAGACCAGGCACTGTGAGTTACTGATCTTCTTTGAGAGGGTGGAGTACGCCAACGGCAGCTCTGCAGCAGCAGCACCTGCTGCAARCGAGGGCACAGCAGCAACGTGTGGCTCTGAGGGCATGGATGGCATCAGCCCCTCGGACAGGGATGGGAGCCAGGCAGCTGCTGGMCCTGGGGACACTGCAGTCCAAGAGAGGGGGTCACCTTAACTCCTGAGAGACACTTTGCAGAAACGACTTCTGCTTGTTAATTGCATCAGTAATATCATCTCTGTAACATCCAGGTAATAAATCTCTGAACAACAGAATAGTTCCAAGGCTTCCAAGTTATTTCATCATCCTAGTTTGAGTTAAMTTTTATTATCAAAGAATTGCAGAAGGGGGTGTGGTGGAAGAGACCTTAATGATCATCTCATAATCACCCCTCTGCCATGGGCAGGGACACCTTCCACTCAACCAGGTTGCTCAGAGCCCCATCGAACCTGGGCTTGAACATTTCCACGGACAGGATAATTACATATGATTAGGCCAAATCCTGCTTTGCTCTTCCTGCCTCTGTACATATATATGAATATATACACATATATATATCTACACACACACACACACAATTCCTAGAGCAGGTCAACTTGTTAAAGGGACCTGTCAGTATGTCATTCAGGTCTGCCCCGTGTCCAAACTGTGCCGTGTTTTTTCAGTAAACAAGTAAAGGTGTAGCARCCTTAACCCTTCCATAAATCATTGACTTGCTACACCTTCACTAGGAAGTTAAAAACTCAGTTTAATAAAATAATAAAAATTATTATTTTTCCACAGTTTTATTTACTTTCCACAGTTGAAGTCAGTCCTATTCTCAGACTGACAAGACAAGCCTTTATTAATTTTCCTACAACACACTACTACAGGAGAGGTGACTGCTCAAAAAATGACAGCCAGAAATTAACTGTACAGACACCAGCACCTCACACTGCTCTGCCCATGCATCTACAGAGAGTGAAGACAAACCCCTGGCTAAGATCACCACCCTTACACAAAGTGCTCTCCAGTCAGGATTCACACTGCAGATACTCAGCAGCTCTCATTAATGACTGTTCCATGCTTACAGAACACACAGTCATACTGGTAGCAGGAATAACATCTGAAATCTCAARTTACTGAACGTACATCTAATACCTATTTCATATGACCTAACAACAAAACAATTCTACTACAGCCCACAGTTGTGCTGATACCCCACCTTTCCAGTGACAACAGGTGCCAAATGTTCAGTTGGAACATTTCCAACGGAACATTCCCAACCTTGACATAATTTAAGTAAAAATACAAATCCCAGTTAAAAAAAAATTTGATTCCTATGTTAAACCATAKAAACATTCAATTCCTCACCAAAAAAGTGATTCAATATTTCCCTAAGCAATGAGCCTSCACTGATCTGATTTCTCTTTAAAAATACCTACAGGATTTGAGGAATAAGAGTTCCTGTCTCTAGATATGCTTAAGCTATGTGACAATACTGATCACACTGGCACATTTTATAATATCAAACTTTATTGCTCCAAACTAATTGTCTGAAAAATACACATGTAGTACTCAAAGACCGAACACAGAGGATTACATGATTGTGCAGAAAAAAAGCAAGCAGAGGCTCAGTGAAAATGAGGCTTTATAGTTGTACCAATTTAGCACTGGCACCAAGCAACTGCACCCAACACAACTCAAACAGCAACCATTGTTACCTGCTGGGGCAAGAAGGATGAATTTTGTGTTGTTTTCCCACTTTCTCAGAAACACGTTGAAATACTGTCATTGATAATTTTATTTGGTTAATAACAGCATGGCTTCTTGCACTTCATATTTCTTCCCATAGAAAGTTAGGAGGCTATCACTTCCTGAATTTCACTCCAGAACCAAAGTACAGCTTAGGGAATTAGTAAGATAATCATGATGCTTTTAAATACTTGGACGTTACAAATATATTTGTATAAAGCCTAACAGCATCACAGGAGAATGGAAGTTTACATACAACAGTTAAGTTTATGCATAATAGTCTTTCCAAACTTCTGAGTACCCAACTAATTAATCAGTTTTTGTCTAATAAATATGTCAAAAAAAGCTGATGACTGGTGTTTCAGTAGGTAGCATCTGACTAGTAACTGGAAGTCACAGTAAATTCTCCGTCAGTACCATGAAGATTTGAATGCACACGAATTTAATCCTTGAAGTCAATATACCACACTTTTGTCGAGAAGCACATAATATGCAAAGCAAAAACTGTCTAATCCCCAAAGGATGGAACAGTTCTTAAAAATACACTCCATCCCTATAAAAATACCCATCTTCCCCTGGATATAGAAGGGATAAATAACAAGTATMAGTGACAAAAGCAGCAGTTTTATGCATTCATACAATCAGATCTAAACCTTTACAGCCRATTACCTAGAAAACACACAAGAGTTACAAGACAAGTTTAGCATACATCTTGAATCACACTGTAAGTGTTCATGCAGAAGCTGAAGTTAATGCAATGATCTATCCTCTATCACAGCAGCTCGTGCTTATGTGCAAATGCAAGACTRTTACACTCCAAACAATAGTAAACATTAAAACACAAGAATACTTCACAATGACATAAACAGCAGTTACGTTGTTTGTTCCAGCAGTTATTGCGCTATTTTCTGGACATCTCTCCAGTTAAAGGCTGCAGCAAGGTCTAATACCATCTTTTTCTGTTTGTTTTTGTTTAGAATGCATAATATACGTTCTAGGCTTTGGTTCACAATGAAATCTCTGGATGTTTTCATTAAGGGCAATGGTCACCTTGTGATTCTGATAGTGGCAGACTGAGGTAATACAGCAATCCTCTTAAAATTAATGAAAACAAATTGGTAAGTGAGGCATCTGTGGATATTCTGCAGGTGACCTGCAAATGCATTGACATTCTGGTTTCAGAAAAATAAAAAGGTCTACAAGGGTGATTTGTCTTTTACAGTGCCATCCAAGTACAGATTTTTCTGCTGAAAACACAAGCGGAAATAAAACCTATCTAAGAGTAATACATTTAGGCATAGAAGATACAAGCCCTRTCTTTATGAAAACAAACTGAAAAGTCCCAATAAAAACAACAAAAAGAGACAAACAGCAATCACTGCTTGTCACTACTGCACCAATATTATATACCCTTCAAAAGATGGAGATTTATTAAAGCTATACAAAAAAAAAGCAGAGGCAGTGTTTTTTTGTCTTTTTTTTCCTTTTTCTTTTAGACAGGCCACTTCTTTAAATAATAGTTTATATATCATCTTCCAACTACCCGTATCCTGTTGTAACAGGATTACAGCTCATGGAACTAAAAAGCTAAATATAATAATAAAAAATGGGTGGATTCATATTTGCAGAGACCTCCAAGCATACAATTTAAACACAGAAACAGGTAGACTCCATGACTCCTCCTGTTTAACCACAAACATTATATGCAACACATTAGAGACCATTAGTTTGAAATATAAATTAAAATCAACATATTTCCAAAGTAATAAGATGTTAAAAGGAGGTCTTACAATACTGATGCCAACATTTTTTAAATCCATTAGGCACTAAATTCAATATACTGCAGCACTCTCTATGTAAYATGGTAAATTAAAAAACAAAACCACACCAAAATCATAATAAAAACAAAACTAAAAAAAAACCCCTCAAGCTCCCTGGTCTCTGTCAAAGTAAGTACCAGGAGCTCCAGCAGGTGCAGGGAACTGACCTTTCATTCCCAGCAGGAGGAAGAGGAGGAGTGTAAAAATGGAGCAGTGCAGCCCCTGGATAAATCATTGCAGCCCTGCCACCAGCTTGGTTTTCACTCTCTTTAAGACCAAAYCAAAAAATGGTTCCAAGAGAAGACTTCCTGCAGTCCCCCAGTGGCCCCCATATGAAGAACAAAACCCACAAAGYAGTGCTTTCCTACAGCCACACGATTTCTGTGTTTGGCTTAACAAAGCCTCAGATGACACAGTGAGTACTGCCTGTTTGCCAGGATTGTATTAGAGTAGTTGCATATTTGTGATTTTCTGAGTATAACTGGTTATGGTCTCATTCTACTTATTACTCTATGTCATATTSCAAATCTACATTCTAACTTTCATTGCAGAAGTTACACATTTTCTTTAAAAATTAAAAATGGAATTAAAAAAGTAAAAACAAAACTTCATAAAAAAACCTGAATTGCTGCAGTCAGACTTAAGGGTTATGTTGATTTTTTCCTAAATTCTTTGCTTTTATGGTGCAAATTAATTAAGACTTAATTGAYCAAGTCAGATGCAATCTGACACCAAACAAATGAGAAATTGTTTTATTGCTGGGAAAAGGGAGTGGAAAGTCATTGGCAAAATATATTCAGACTATCAACCATCATCAGCTGCATTTTGGCTCCAAGCTTTGAAAACAGCCTTTCAAATTACAGTTTTTATTTTAATCATATGAGTGGGGCCTTTTTTCCCTGTTCAACTGGTCTGTAAACTAACACAGGCTTTTTCATYTAAAATAAACCCCTGTAATTCTGGWTATCCAACCTGTTACTCTTAACACTACCAGGTATTCTTGTTCTTTTCAAGTAATAACAAAGTCTGCGTCCTGTAATCTCAAATAACTAAGCCTGGCAGGAGACAAGAAACAAAACAAAAAGAAACAGCATTACTGGCCTAATCCTATGGCATTAGAAACATTGCTCATCACTTTCCTGTATTTGTCACCAAAGTGTCTTATCAGTGCATATTATTATGTGCTGAAATGCAACAAAACTTTTCACAAAAATAGTTTTAGGCATGTTCATACAAGAAGATGTACATATATTTCTTTTATATATACATATATATGAATGTGTATATATATAATATCAGCTTCAACCTGTACATAGATATTCTGAATTTCTTACTTAAAATACATCCATTTCAAACAACATGGATGGCTTTCCAGGAAAAAGTGCTTGATTGGTTTTATCCTGTGTGAACATGCCTRTCATCTGTGCATTTGCCCCAGTAGAGATCTTTATGATCAATTCTTTAAACGTACATATCTCAGAGGTATTAAACAAGGAAAAAAAACCAACGAAAAAGAAACTAGGAAAAAGTAATATTGCCCTGATGATGCAAAAAGAACAATGCATAACTGAAGCAGCTTGGATTTTACAAGTTATCTTGCATTCTGCAGCAAACAATTTTTAAATAATTGTTGAAAATCTAGTTCCTCCATTTGTGTTATTGCTCCCCACTTGCATGTTTTCTCATTACACATCAACAGTACAGAGAGGTTCACTACCAGGYTGAGCTGATTCCACTACTGTCATCTTGGGTTTCTTTCGGGTTTCCTCCTAAAAAAAAAACATGAAACAACCCCCACCACACAGTCATAAAGAGAATATAATCATAAATTAGTTCAGTTAAAATTTGGAACAATTTTAGCCAAACTTGTGTCAATTGTTGCAAAAGGCTAATTGGGGCTAATGTTGAAATAAATACAGAACTAGGTACAATCAAGTTATAAGCTAGTTTAAAAGAGAGAATGAAAATCTCTCTACAAGTAAACTTTCAGTCAAGCTTTGAAGACCTCTCCTTACTTAAAATACTGTGTAAAATAAGCAAAAAAAAACCATTGGTACATGTGACCCATGACATTCATGCTGTTTGTAAATACATATGAACATATACTTACTCTTTCCTGTGCCAGTTTTTTCATTTCTTCCTGTAACTTGTTCAGGATGTGCAGATTTGGCTTGTTCTTTTTGGCATA